GTGTGTAATTTGACTTCCTCTTTGTAGAAAACTTGGAGATGAGTGGGTCCATTGATTGAATGCCTAGGCGAGCTGAGACCTGATAGAGTTGGTTCAGCCCTTTTTTTGTTTTTGTTTCACTAAATGCCAAGACTTTATGCCTTTGTCTTTTCAGAAGTTATACCCCACCCATTCCCCCCACCACCCCCGCGTGTCATGGAATAATACTTTTTATGGATTATTTATACTGTAGTTTTTTTTAACAATAAACCTAGCCCTGGGTTGATGATTTAGGACAAAGATGGACTTGGGTGTCTGGAGTTTCTCCATGGTCTCCTGCACACTAAATGCACCCTGTAAGTAGAGGGTTGAAATTAGTTATTTGTGTGTGTGTGTGTGTGTGTGTGTGTGTGTGTGTGTGTGTGTGTGTGTGTGTGTGTGTGTGTGTGTGTGTGTGTGTGTGTGTGTGTTGTGTGTGTGTGTGTGTGTGTGTGTGTGTGTGTGTGTGTGTGTGTAAGGCTGGAGGAGCCTGCTCTGTCTGTAGTCTGATGGCATGATTGGAGGGAAACCGTAAGCTAAATGGAGTCACTTGACTGGAACACTGCAGCCTCTGTGAACATCAGGTCTCAGCTCACTGCACCTACAGATGAGCATTACTCATACAGAGAACATACAGTTTACTCACATGTTTCACGAACACACACACATACACACTTTGCCTCTTGGATTTCTGTGGTCACATTTTAATTAGTTTGTCTGGAATGATGTGAGGTACACAAACATTAGCATTCCTCTTTGTGAATTTACAGTCTCTTAGAGTGCACATAAACACACTCATAAACACTCAAACAATCACCCACTGCTGCTGATACACATGAACACACAAATATGCATGTTAACATACTGCCCTCTCCCCCAGACGCACACATGCTGAGTGCTGCTAATGTAGCCAGAGCTGTTGGCAACCTGAACCAAAGTAAAACTACGACTGTATAAACAGTGGTGTGTGCTGACTCGAAGACCAACAGCACAGGATCTTCTCTCCTGTAACTGAAGCATGCGTGCACACAAATACAAACACACACCCTGAGGCACACTAACTCACTCTGTCTGAGTGGAATGTAAGCTAAGCGGGATGATGCAGATAAGACAAAGAAAAGCATTTTACAACTGTCCACACACACTGAGGTGCAGTGTATCTTTTGGGCCGCTTTTCTGTGTCTCTTGACACACACACTCACACACACACACACACACACACACACACACACACACACACACACACACTGCTCTCTGTCACAGGTCACTCATGGGTGACTGGGGCTTCATTCAATGTATAATAATGGGGGATATCTCAAATAAGTACCCGCACCACAGAACCCATTTCACACTAGCTTGATTTGGCCATGTTGTGGATGTTAGACAGACCCAGTCCTCCCCTGTGTAAAACCTTATCATAGTCCAACTAAATCTGTGCATGTGCCAAGTTTTTTTATAGCGGTCCTGACCACTATTTATGTAATTTACCAGCTACTTTTTTCTCTGAAATACAAAGCACTGCTGCAGGCATGGCTAACCATTTATTCAACCAAACGCATGCAACTAGATGTTTTAGCCGCCAAAGCTGCTCTTAGGAAAAGGCAGGCTGGTCAAACAAAGGCTAGCTACTGGGTCTGACCCACTTATCAACAGTTATCAGGTGGCCAGTGCTGATTTTCAGTTTTGATGCATGCCCTCTTCTGTTTGTTTTGGCTGTAAACAGCAAATATTTGCTGTTAATGCTTTGTAATTCTGTGTATTGAAGTGGCACAAGAACTTTGGAATTGATTATCTGCCTTCTTTAAGCGTGAGAAAAACTAGTGTGTAGTATTCTCGTAGTCGTTTGTAAGTGGGCTGTGCTGACTGGTATGGCATATATTACTGTAATTGCTCTGAGACCCCACACTGCCCTCTGCTGTCATGGCTATCATTTACCCACCTCCCCCTTACTCCACTGTACTATATCCTCCTGTTCACAGCTTCACTCCCTTCCTTAACCAAACAACTCTTGCAGGGCCCTCATTAAAACATCCCAGTTGAAAGGTTGTGAAGGAAATGTAGCACAGTGGCTCTCACCAACGTGCCGCCTCAGTCTACAAATGGTTATACAAGCACAGGTCTGTAAAGGCTGGCTGAGTGACTGAGCAGACTGCTGTGGCTCACTAACACAACGAAGAGACGGTGGCGGTACACTAAATCCCACTGCTCCCTCTTGTTATTCCAATTGACCCATTGATCCGTGTAACACTTTTGGCTTCTCTATTGTTTAATTTGAAAGTACATCAGTCGGTGGGAAACGGCAGGGACATCAGATCCAGTTTTCATTGATGGAATTAGTGGTTACTGACTGTTCTACAAGCAACTGAACGCATCAGAGAACAGATTGATTACATGTTACTTATGTAAAACACAAGAATTTGATTAGACAAGTTATTCGGCATGTTCCGGGTTTCTCAGAAAGAAGCTGCTGCTGGGTACAGCATCATAGCTGTTTCCTCGAAAAACACCAACAGCTTGTCTCAGAGTGGACACTCAGGAGTGAATGGCCATCTTTGTGAGTGTTTATAATTACTTGTTCACAGGCATGATTGCATTATTGGCTAGCTTTCCCTCATCACTGATTGAGCTCTGGATGATATCAAGAGCGGAGAGGAATGCACTGATGACAATGCTTTTATTGAGCAATTGGTTTAGCTTGAATGGAAGAATTGCTGAATGTCTATTAGCAGTAATATGGCTTCTTATACTATAGTATGGGAGTATTGTTTCAGCTGAGGAGAACTTTTTGTGGAGTTAAAGTGTGTACTTGTTTCTAGGGCATGACTTTTCAGGTGTGTTTCAAAGCACCCTCCCCCTGAGTAGCTTTCTCTCTCTGAGTGTCACCTGTTCTCCCAGCATGGTTGCCTTCCCTCCTGGGGGACGGTTCCCATCTGGGCTTGGCCCGAGTCACATGGTCGCCATCAGCTCCTGTTTCCTATTCCTGCCATCTGATACCTGTCACCTGCTACTCAGTGAGCCAACACCCTCTCTATCTCTTTCTGGCTGTGTCCTTTCCTGTGTTTATCTCCTCATTCCTCCTCCCATTTCACACTCCCATCAGGTGGGGATGCTAATATCAACTACCAGGCTAATGCTGGGAAATTTTGAATATTCGGAAAGTACTGACAATCCCTGTCTAGCACTGCCTGCAAAATCAGGATAGATTCTGTGGGAAAAAAAACATTGCTGCTGTAGTCTCCTCACTCCCCATCCAAACACAATACACATAACTAGTTAAGAGCAGGAAGTGTCTGTCATCGAGGAACAGAGTGCAGCTGAAATGCAGCATTCTTCTCTTTGGCAGCGTAATTGTAGAGCTGTCTCCCGGCATCTTGTATTAAGTGTGTAGAGTGTGTACATGTGTGTTTTTACACTTGTCAAGTTTAAATCTGACAGTATACTTCAAAGAAGGGTTTTGTGTTATCTGATTTACCACGTGTTTATGCAACAGTGAGGAGACAGGAGCATGACGGTGCTACATTTTTGAAACTTTAATCCCAATGAAGGAGGAGGATCTTGGAAATTATTTGAATTTTCCAATTGAGCATATTAATCTCTCTGGTTATTGACACACAATGGATTTTTTTCAGCAGAGGACCTTGCTGACAGCCTGAGGTTAAATTTGAATTAAGGTTTAGGCTCCAAGCTCGCAGACGTTTGTATTCAGGGAGCATCCCTGAATAATGAGTTTATACAAATTCCTACCCCGGAAAGCAAGTTCCTCAAGTCTTCTCCCTTACAGCGTCTGAGAGGTCGACTGGCTTTTGACAGAGCAGACAGTGGGTTCTCTGTGGGCCGCAGCACCAGGGACTGATTGAGGGGTTAATAACTGCATAGTTTGTTACTCCTGCTGTTCCCCGCTAGCTTGTCTTGTCTATCCATCTGAACCGCAGATGACACACAGACGCACACAGCGCTGCTGGCAGAGGAATGTTTCTGAAAGCTGTCCTCTCCAACAACCAGCCTCTTGTGAAAGCACTTGGCATGGCCACAGCCGCGGCACTCTCCTCGGCTCTCCTATCGAAAGCCACTTTGTTTGGTTGGCGTTGCCATGGTGAGGAGGAGTTTTTGGGAATATGATGATGGAATGTTTAAAAAAAAAAAAAAACAGCTCTGGAGACGGCCCTCCTCTGAATATACAGGATATTTTGTGTGGTAACTTACAGTTTTGATCAGGGCAAAAGAGGAGTGTCGCTAACATTTAGAGAACTAATACACTTTGTAGGGTACAGAGCCAAAACAGTTAGTCCATTAATTGATTAGTGGATTGATTTGGTAATTGATTCACTGTTTTGAGTCATTTCGAAGCAAAAACGACACTCTCGTCCTGGTCTCTGACGTGACTGATTGCTGCTTTTTTTTTATATCACTGTAAACTGAATGTATTTGGGTTGTGGATGGTTGGGCAGACAAGACAAGCAATGAGAAAACATCTTGTTGGTTTTGTGATGGCAATTTCTCACTATTTTCTAACATTTTACACACAAATCAATTAATCAAAAATCCAATGAACTAGAAAAATAATCATTAGTTGATCCCTAATAGGCTCAGCTGTATGTATGTCCATTTTTGGTCTAAAATGTTCATTAAACTGAAATCCAGACAGAAACAGTCTACAACTATTTTGTTAATTGATTAAGTAATTAAGTAATTTTGAAGCAAAAATGTGAAATATTCTCTGGTTCCAGCAACTTAAACATGAGAATTTGTTGCTCTTTATTGTCATTACCACTTTAATGTTTTTTTTTTTTGGTTGTTTGTTTTTTAAAGACTTGATAGCATTTCAGGAAAAATCTTTGTTATGTTTAACAATGGCGCTTGTCCCTTGATGTATCCTGACAGTATCAAATGATGAAATTTAATTTAATGATTTGAAATAACAACAGTCTGAGGAAATGTTTAATGTTCTGTGTTGATTAACGTGTCATCATGTGTCTCTGCAGCCTTTCTTCAGACTACTGAACCTACGGAAGCTTGGCTTGAGTGACAATGAGATCCAGAGACTCCCGCCTGAGGTGGCCAACTTCATGCAGCTGGTGGAGCTGGACATCTCCAGAAACGGTACATGAATACATAGACTAGTTCATTGTCCACTTGTGTCAGTTGCTCGTAAAGATCTGCTTGCAAGACCACCCATTAATACACAATTACTTTTAATGACACATTTTAAAATAACCTCCCACTCTTGTTGAGGCTACACCAAAATCACAAAGCAAGGAAGTTGTGTCTGTGAAAACGATTGCTGCCATGTGGCGTTAAGCAACAGGAGTGTTTCCAAATCTGTTGGAGAATCATCACTCTAGCAGCAGCCATTAGATAAATGTTAGCTGACCCTCTTTGCCAAGATTATCCAGTCAAACCTCAGGCACAACAGACATTCACCCATGAATCTCTATGCCCTTGAAATATACCTATAAGAGGAGCAAAAATGGTAATTTAGCTCCACAAGGAAAAACTAATTTTGCCCTCAGTCACACATGTTACAGAGATATAAGATTAAACTAATTCCTATTAGGCCTGATATATTATATTCTGCAACTCATCGTCTATAACACACACAAATGTCTTGCCCTCTCTGTGTCCTTCTGTGCTGCACACAAACACTCTGATACTCAGAGGCAGAAAGGGCTGGTATGGTAGATACGAGACATCTGCTCTGCTACACACTGCACCAAGTGCTGCGAGAGCAGTGTGCAGTGGCCTGTAAGGGGCCTTGCCCATCTGTCTGCCTGTCTGCTTCCCTGCTCCTGCTGCAGGACAACACTGAGCCAGATGAGTGTCATAGGCTGCTTGGCTCCAGAGGGATTTCTTAATGTGCACCTGCAAGGTCCATTGGTAAAAGTGCTTTTCCTGGTCAGACCAATAGGTCAGATTTCTATTTGTGCCTTCTATATGTGCACCTGACTAAGAAGGCAAGGGTTAAGCTAAATCAGTGCCTTTTTAAATTCATTCATCAAAGTATTTGTGAAGTTGTAGTGATGGACTTGCCTTACAGTGCTCTGAAGGTGCTGAATAACAGTGCAAACATTGAAGAATTTATCAATTCTAAACCATTGCTTTGCAGTACAATATCCTACGTGTCCGTCTTATCTTATCTGTCTTTAATGAATGTGTTCCCTTTTGTATAATTTGACACCATCCTGTTGAGACTAAAGCACTGAAGAAGCAACTGAAATGCTGTTAGATACAGATACAGGGTAAAGGGGGCTTAACTGTGACTTTGATGGAAAAAAGCAGTTAACTGTAAAAGTGTGATTTCACTCTTACATTTGAGTTGATGGGGGGAAAATGAAGATGTAAGACTACACTTTGAACACGTCCTCCCTTGTGCAACTTTCACCCCTTTCTGTCTCATTTTCCCTTTCCTTTCTCTCACTTCTCTGCTTTTGGCCATCTGGTTGTGATTACAAAGAACTTAAAATGATTCGGTCTATAGAATACAACCCCCCTCTTTCTTTCTACATCTGTGTGTCCATGGTTCTGACTCCTGTCCCCCCCACCCCCCCCACCTCCTCTTTTCTCCTGCAGACATTCCTGAGATCCCTGAGAGCATTAAGTTTTGTAGGGCCTTGGAGATAGCGGACTTCAGTGGAAACCCCCTCTCCAGGTAAGTGGATTGGAACAGCCCATCACTGAGTTCATCACTGTGAGACAATATGGTGCTCGCCAGATAGAAAAGTCACTGTTGAACGGTTCTGAGTTAAAACCTTTCATTTCTTGCCATACCCTTGATAAGTGATGTCCAAGTTGGTATATAGAAAATCAATGGACCCACTGGCAAAAAGCTTTGATGCTGAATACATAAACAGATGGGACTGTCTAGAACTGCCAATTGTCTGTGTGAGTCAAGTGATCCCATGCATTGTACAATAGATCCCTAAGAGACTGTCTCCACTGTTTTCCCCTCCTGTCTTTCTGCCTCAGATTGCCGGATGGTTTCACTCAACTCCGAGCGCTGGCTCACTTGGCACTCAACGATGTGTCATTGCAGACGTTGCCCAATGACATTGGAAAGTATGTACATGTGCGCTATTGCTCGTTTTTGAAAATTTTATATAAGATCCTCGTAAAAATATTTTAATAAAAGATGTGTTTTTCTCTTGAATAGTTAATAAAACCGTTGATATGTCTTCATTAGTGATTTGAAAATTTCAAATTTTCCCATATTGGCTGGTTACAAAAAGACTGTTTATCACATTATTTCTGCAACTCTGCTTCCACATAATTTAGAATAATATAGTAGATAATTAACAGATTAACAGGAAATTAATCAGCAACAATTTTGATTAATCACTCAGTTATCAAGCAAAAATACCAAACATTGTCTAGTTCCAGCTTTTAAAATGTGAGTATATGTCTTTTGTATTATATAGGTAAAATCTCTTTGGGGATATTAACTCTTGGTTGGACAAAACGATCAATTTGAAAATGTTAATTGGAAAATGTTACCAGACTGAAGTCCTCGGACACAGATAGATCCATGATACATGAGGAGACTGAGCAGGTTTTCAAGGAGTGTGATTCTGCTGCCCAGTGGGCTCTGAGGCAGCCGGTCTCTGGGCTGTGGGCCACTGCTGTGCTCCGCCAGATGGAAGAGCCCCTCACCATGCCAGGCAGCCCAGACGAACAGACTTGCCATCTGACTAACCAACCTGTCTCTCCTCTCCCCTCTCTCTTACTCCCCCAACCTGTCTTCACTGGGCCTGCCAACTCCCTACCCTCTTCCCTTTTACTCTCCTTCTTTCATAGCCTGGCTAACCTGGTGACGTTGGAGCTCAGGGAGAACCTGCTGAAGTCTCTGCCCACGTAAGTGTCCTCTCCCTTCAGTGTACAAGTGCTCAGTTTAGCCTCTTGTCTAATTTCCCACCGTCTCCATCAAGCACAATAAATGCCTGTTGACAGCACAAGCTGATGATGGTTTCATAATGCATGAAGAACTGTCACCACTGTCTCTCCTGCTGTAACTTTTGTTGTTGAGATCAGCATTATACTCATCATTAGCACATACACTGTTTGGGTAAAACATCTCTCACCTGCAAATGCAATAGTTTTACCAAACAGACATTTATTTGGGTCTTTTGCATCATGTGTCAGTCAGTGTGAATGAGTGGTATGTTGTATTCATATGCAAAGCTCTGTTCTTTGTTCTTTCATGGTGCATATTTGTGTGACTTACCACTTGTGCTATTTTGTGTGTGTATTCAGGTCACTCTCCTTCCTGGTGAAACTGGAACAACTGGACCTGGGCAGCAATGAACTGGAAGTTTTGGTACATGAACATTTTATCCTGCTTTAATATCATAATACACAGTAGATGATTCATTCTATCATTGAGTGCTCAAACAGCTCTCTTAGTTGTGTCTTATAAGTAATCTGTTTTATATTTGCACTACTAGTGCTGCACACAAAGAGTGACACGTACCACAAATATCCATGTCACATTCCCACTACAGTAATTATGATGTAAACCATGTTTACCTGGCCAAACACATCAGAGCCGGTCTGTTAGACCTGAGGCCGTGCCTGCACTGTACCCAAGTGTGAGAGCTGCTTCTAGTGTGGGAACGCCCACCTGTCTCAATAAGACAGGGTAAACAATGCCTCATGACTTGACAGGGGCGGAGGCTGAAACAAACAGTTGACATCATGATGAAACCTTGCCTGCCTGCATGTCTGTAAAAAGCCACTGCTTCACTGACATTCTCTTTGATTTCATTTATCACTCAGATTTTTTTACTTTTCGTTTCTTTTTTTTTAATGTACAGAGTATGTGTATATTTAGGGTATGTGTTTTCTGTTCCTCAACACCTCTTAATAGTTTTCAAATGGATCAGATTTCCACTCACTGTTGTGTGTGTTTAGAGTAGTCACTTCCCTCACTTTGCAACACAAATATTAACAAATATAAACAACCCACTCCTATCTCTTAGCCGGACACACTTGGTGCTCTCCCCAACCTGAGGGAGCTGTGGCTGGACCGTAACCAGTTGTCCTCATTACCACCAGTGAGTATCATTTTGTGTATTATATTGTGTGTCATTGTATATCATTTTTTATACCTGCACTGTTGCAAAAACGGTTCTCCAGAAACTGTTGTGAAACTACACATGTGGGATTAACTACCACCATCAGATTTCCTCACCTTGTTGTTGTGAAGGTAATGGTTGTATTGTCTCTGTGGCTCACTGTAAGTGTTATTTATTTTGTGTGTGTGTGTGTGTGTGTGTGTGTGTAGGAGCTGGGGAACCTCCGCAGACTGGTGTGTCTGGATGTGTCAGAGAATCGTCTGGAGGAGCTTCCCGCAGAGCTCAACGGCCTCCTGGCTCTCACTGACCTGCTGCTCACACAGAACCTGCTGGAGGTTGTCCCAGACAGCATAGGTGAGAAATACAAGGGGGAAGAAAAGAAAGAAACATTGTCTTAGAAAAACAGAATGGGAATGATAAATCTCAGTAAAATTCTACAAGAAATAGCGATGTATCTAATTATGAAATAAATATTATTGTCATCTCTCCATTGCAACCATCCATGCTTTTCCCACCCAGTGATGGTCCCATGAAAATGGCATTAGCCATCTTTTGTTTTGCTCTTGGGTTGTATTATAGTGGGTTTTTGGGGTACAGTGTCAACGTTAACCATCGAATTAAGCAGTACTTTTGTTGCAGTGGACCCAGGGACTTGCCCACTTTGTGTAGGTGACTTTGCTAAATAAGAACAGCACTGCCCTCTAGTGGAACACCCATGTCAGTGAAAAGCTTGTCATCTGATTTTGACCTGCATTAGTTTACTCTATTCAATTATTCCAGTGCCTAGGTTAATTAAAAAAAATATTTCAAACACTAAGATCACACATTTACATGTCACAAACATAAGATATCATGTAAAAAACTGAACTGGATACAGATACACCATCACATTAAAAACTGTGCACATTTTTGTTAGTGGTAGTAACCAAGGTGAAGATGTATATGATCCTAAAGTTATGAATGTTAGGGTCTTATTGCCTGTTGTGTTTTGTCTCCAGGTTGTCTGAAACAGCTGTCTATCCTGAAGGTGGATCAGAACAGACTAACCCATCTGACTGATTCAATAGGAGAGTGTGAAAACCTCACAGAACTCGTCTTGACAGAGAATCTTTTACAAGTAAGGAGATACAAACCATGTTGAGCCTTGCACTGACCCAGTTGGGATTCATGCGTTCCCATTAATATCCAAGTCCCATTAACGGCTATTAAGTTTCATTATTGATTTCACTGAATTTTAATGGTCTCTGTCTCGCTCCCTTACAGTCACTTCCTCGCTCACTGGGCAAGCTGAAGAAGCTGACCAACCTGAATGTAGACCGCAACCGTTTGGGCAGCGTGCCCAAAGAGCTGGGCGGCTGCTCCAGCCTCAACGTTCTCTCACTGAGAGACAACCGCCTGGGCAAACTGCCTGCTGAGCTTGCAGATGCCACTGAGTTGCATGTGCTGGATGTGGCTGGAAACAGGTAACAAACACCATAATAACAAATTGAACTGTTAAAAACACACAGCAACTTATCTACTCTAAATGTATTTTCACAGCTGTGGTGCTAAATTATAGAAATTATGTATTGGAAAACTGCAAGCAAATGCATCACTGTCAAAGGGTCTGGTAATTTCAGAAAATTTATAGAGGGAGAAAGGGAGGTTGTTCCTGTTCCTATTCCTCCTTTTTTTTCCCCTGTGAGAAAAATATATGTCCTAATGTATGAAAGCTTACTTAATACATCCAGTTACCGAGTTTCTTTGAATTAACTTTAGATTAGAGATTTTTGTGACCACCAATGTAACTATTGAAGATTATACAAGTATCAGGTGGATCATATCTTATTTTTTCCTGAAAAGGAAAAGGCTGCGGCTCATCTCACCTCATCCCTTCTTTTGTACAGATTACAAAACTTGCCTTTTGCCCTGACAAACCTCAATCTGAAGGCCATGTGGCTCGCAGAGAACCAGTCACAGCCGATGCTCAAGTTCCAGACAGAGGATGATGAGCGAACAGGAGAGAAGGTGTTGACGTGCTATTTACTCCCCCAGCAGCCTTCTCCGAGCCTTGGTGAGTAGCACTTTGTTAATACAATGTGAAGTTGGAATCGGTTTGTTATTGTTTTTTATTAGACACATAGGAAATGGCTCATACTTGGAGCTTTATATATTTTTTTGCATAGGTTTTAGATTTTAGCTAGTTAGTTAACTACTTGTGGCTCATAAAACCACATATAACCCATATGTGTTTGTATGAGTGAGACTTCACAGAATCTGTTCTCGAAGCTGTTCATTCTAAAGTAATCTACAGCTATTACCTCACTTTGACATCCTCCTCTCTCTGCACTTTTCCTTCTTTTTCCACAGAGAACTTGCTACAAAACAGTGTGGATGACAGCTGGACAGACAGCAACCTGAACCGTGTGTCAGTCATTCAGTTCCAGGAAGAGACCAAGGCTGAGGAGGAGGATGATGAGGCTGCTGCAGAGCGCAGGGTGAGGAAACTCACGGATGCAGTGTCTTTTTCTGTCCGCTTCGTGTCCCTCCGTTGAGAGAATTTTTATGTTTTGCCCTATTACTTATCATCATGATATTATACATCTTTGTCATCGAGCTAATTATGTGTGAAGCTGTTGTGCTTTTAATTGAGCAAACATTCAAGTACAAATGAGTGTGGATTATTTTTATCGTCATCTGACTATTTCCTGTGCTTGATCAAGGTTGTTACTGTGACTAAAGTATTTTTAGCAGCTCCATACTGACACTCATTTGTTGTCAAAAGCAGGTTTCAATTTGTTTCCTTTGCTGCAGGGTCTTCAGCGCAGAGCCACACCGCATCCCAGTGAACTGAAGGTGATGAAGAAAGTGATTGAGGAGAGGAGGAATGAGGCTTACACATCCAGACCTGATGGAGAAGAAGAGTCCCCTGACCCGCAGGTACATTCAACATACTGTAACATATCTCCTTTTTTTTTTTTTTTTAACCTTTTTTTTTTTAAACTTAACAATTTTGTGCAGGCCTCACTGTACACTAAATAAAACAGACAGATAACAAGGCAGAAGTAGGGTGATATTTCTGTGTTGTTGATCCTAATGAACTAAAACTTGTGCTGTTGGTTTCAGGAGAAACGGCTCAGTGACCTCTCCAACCAGAGCCATGACTCCCAGGCCTCCAACAGCACGCTATCAGCCACCTCCCATGAAGGCCGACAAAATGTGATTGCCACCTCGCAGAGGGAGGACCTTGTGGATGGCCACTCCCCTCAGGACGAGGAAGAGCTGGATGAGATGGAGGTGGAGTATATTGAGGTGAATATTCAATCAATTCAGTCTTCAGACTCGGCTACAGAAAAGAGTTTTCATTAGAGGATATATTTATTAAAAGGATGCACAACTTTCACTTTGATAAATTTGCTTAAGGAAAGATCTGTGGTTTCCCTTTCCGTGTGCAAATTCTAAAATCTCCCTTTCTCCAGCCTACTGTGCACTTTGCAGAGGAGCCCATCATCCGTGGTGGGGATGAGGACGACGAAGAGGACGGGGAAGATGGTGAGAGGAGTGATGAGGAAGACGAGAGGCCAGCTCTTCCTGCAGAGAAGCAGCGTCTGATCAGAAAGGACACGCCACATTACAAGAAGCACTTCAAGATCACCAAGCTGCCCAAGCCCGAGGCTGTGGCCGCACTGCTGCAGGGCTTCAGTCCTGACGGCCTCAACTCTCCGACACAGGCTGCTGAGGATGAGGAGGAAGAGCAGAGTATTGGCACCCCTCAGCACCATCACAGAGTAGAGGAGCTGGAGGACAGCCGGCAACAGGCCAACTCCAGTCAAGTAAAGGTAAAGTAGAGATCCCAGCAGTGATAGGATGCAGCTCAGGAAAGTGGGGGGGGGGTAGATGGGTAGAAATAGTTACACATGTTACATTTAAGTAAAAAATATTACTTTTCTCACCTGCATTTGTACACAGATATAAATGTGAAATGTATATACAAGTGTAGAAGTTGTATCATAGGTACATAACACAGTAAAAGTTTATTAGCTCATGTTATGCTGCAAATTTTCTATTTATGTTATAAGAATATATTTAAATTGAATATATTTTGCCTTGCTGATTGCCTCTATGCAAACATTTAATACTGTATGCATAGACTGCCCTTATCACCTTGCAAGTTGCATTCAGTTTGGAGTGGGCTGCTAGCACTAATTAAGGATGTGGCATTGCATGCAGGGTCATTGTGGAAATAGAGATGTCCACCTTTGTGTTGTAAATCAAGGGGTTTTTTTTTCTCACTCAGGAGTTGATTTTGTGGTTTAACCACAAACTCACCAGGTTCTCGGCTCGGAATGGCTCCCTCAGAACTTTGCTTTCTCTTTGCTCTGTCTTGCAAAGACAAGATGTCCTCCACCAAAACCCACAAACACTCAACATAAACCTAACAACATTTAAATAGCTTTACACGCACGTTATGTGATACCAACAAATGGATGTAAAAACATTGTCTCATACTTGGAAGAAAGAACAGAGAAGTTCCATTTAATTTTCTTCTGTTTCCACACAAGATTGCATCTTGATCTTTTGTTTACATGGAGATAACATACCAGATATGAGCACAAGCAGCTGCAGGCTGACTTCAGCCGTTCTTGCACAACATCGGCCCAATTCAGTACTAAACTTCTCACCATATTATCAGCCATCTCCTGATTTAATTGAATAATTACATTTTCACACTCTGCTTTTATAACACTGTGCGTGCCTGTGTGTGTGTGTGAATGGAGTGAGTGAAGTCTGCTCAAGAAAATCAGTCCCCTTATTGATCATTAGTATCTGGGGAAACTTAAATGAGATCTGTTGATTTATCGTGCTAATTTTAGAAATCTTTTTTTTTTTAACACTGATCAGACATCATCATCTCATCAAATCTGTTTTGCGTTTATGGATGTGGGTCTGTTTGTGTGGCTGACTTCAGACCAACCAGAACATGTATTGGCAGAGCTGGAATGTGAGATCCAACGAGTCTTTGTGTCATGTTAATATTATATTCTATTCTATTATGGGATGTTTAAATTATTATAGATAGTGAGATTCTTCCTTGTTCTTGTAAATCAAATTCTGCAAGACTTTCAATAATTTCACCTATTTTCTTTGACTTTTTTTTTTTTAAACTTTGTGTAAATGACTTTTGCAAAGTCATCTTGTAGATATGTTTATTTTTTTAGGCTGAAACTGTTCTATAACATCTTGCAGTCTTTTACATAAGTAGGCCTGTTGTCTAAATTAAGGCTTGCTCCTGGAGGAAACTGCTATTTGTGGTGTGGAGGCTGGGCTTATTCTGGTTTGGGAGCTTTTGCCTTCTTTTGTCTGCTCTCTCTACACTGTGTGTTTTGCACTGTAGCTCAGCTCCTTGGTCTTGTCTTTCCATCTCTGCCTGTATTTGCTTTTGGTGGCTGGGGAGTGAGTGTGGGATCGCTTCTGCTTCAAGGTGGTCCACTCCAGTGGACTTGGAAGTCCCACAACCTGCAAGCAGACAGTGGAGTGTTTGGTGTGTTTGGTGAAGATTATGGAAAGTGTGAGAAAGTGTTTTTGTTTTGTTTTTTCTTTTTGTGTGCGTATGAGCGTATTTTTATTTTGGCCTGACTAATCCGCATGCCTCTCGCTGGTTCCTGTCCTAACAGGGGGTGTCATTTGATCAAGTCAATAATCTGCTGATTGAACCTGCTCGAATTGAGGAGGAAGAGGTCTGTACCTACTCTTTCCCGTCCAGTCTGTTTTTCTGTGTCCCTCACTCACCCACTCATTCACCCACCTGTTCTCAGAGGTGGAGAAAATACCCTCAGATATCCATGGTTAATCCAAGCCAATCACTAGGGACCCCCTAATCACAACTCATTTATGGGCAGTGTGGCACAACCTGGATGCAAAAGGACAGTATACATATTATATTTAAATTTATTTTTCTCCACTGGACAGCAGGAGTTCAGACACAAACGCTGTGGATATAAAACCGTAGTTTTCAAAAATTCGTTGATGGACAGCTTTCATTGTCAGGGTTGGAGTGCATCCTGGGAAACTGGCCTAACTCTATATGTTGATAAATTGTTGAAAATGAAGGAAATGTGTTTTTTATCTATTCTTTTTTGGTTATAAATAATCGGATTAGGAATGTGTAGCATGGAGCTATAGTTGCATATTTTATGTTTATGGATATTTTAATAGAATGAATTTCTGACCTTGCCTGCTAGTTAGATTGTTCTTGCTACCACGAAAGATTGTAGCAATCATGAATGAATGATCTATTAACCACCTTTAAGATTTTGATTCATTACGGATTCATAAATTGACAATATGAAAAGTTAAAGTGACAGGCATTGTTTCTATCTGTGCCGGTGTTTTTCAGCCACTGTAGTCTTCTACTCTTCCTCCATTGCAACATTATCCATTGCAGAAGTGATCAACCATATTTTTTTTATCCATCAGGGGTCACAGTGAACATACAACTAATGACAACATTAAAAAAAACAACAACTTCATAGATCTATGTCTGTTGTCGGGAAAACGCCACGATGCCCCACAGAACTTAAAACTGTCGACAGAGTTGTACAAATCCAAGTCTAGTGTCTGGTTCTGCCACACTGTGCCTCTCTTGCCTTTCCTCTGCTTCTGCTGCTTCGCTCCTTTTCATCCCCTGTCCATGCTGTGTTGCCCTGGAATGAATGGGCTGGTTCTGTGATGATGACGTCCATGTCACCTGCTTCCTCCAGGTGTTTTTTTTTTTTTTTTTTGGATATACAGGTATACAGAGATGGTATGTAACTCAGCTGCCAACCAGAAGAGCTCCAGATGGATGAAGAAGCTTCTCAATACCATCCTAATATTATTTTTCATAGAGTTATACTGCTATGATTGCATACTAGAAATGGCATACTTGATATTTATTACCATTACTTTACTAAATGGTGTTGTTAATCCCATGTAGATTTGTCTTCATCTTCTTTTTTTTTTCTGCATGTTTTTGTTTGGAGTATTGTATATGATTGTGTATGGATACTGTACACTCTTGTGCTGTTTAGTCTTGACGAAGAAATCAACATTTATTTTCACTGTTACAGAGCAGTTGAACATTTTAATGAACAAATTTGCCTCATTATTACAAACGCTGGGGTTTGAACACCACTACAGTCATCAAAACCATCTCCACATCCAGGACAGCACACTCCTCTTATCTGTCACTCTTGACATCTCCCATTTTCCTTCCACCTGTCCCTCATTTGTCTCTATCCCTCCCTCTTTTTGCATGGCTTGCAAGTACACATATTATACAGTCTGTTACAACTTATTTAGTTTTTACCTCACATTTTAAAGTCCATTCTTCCATACATATACAATCCACATTGTGCAGTATGTTTTCTATAAGGGTCTAGCCTCTGAATCCAAGTGAAGAGGGCTTCACAAAGTGTGTGTTTGTTCAGTTTATGTTTGAAGTCTAAAGTCAGTCATGTGGGAGCTAGTGGATGACAGATTTGGCTGCAGCTTTACTCATACAATCTCAAATTAAGGCATAAAATCATTACCTTCTACATGTATTGACATTAGGCTTCTAACAAGTCAAAGAGCCTCTCCATCCATCATTCTGATAAGATTGACGCCACCTTCTGGCAGAAAGAGGGAAATCCCCCACAACTAGAATCAAAAAGTCAAAGATGTGAAAATAAATGGCAAAATGCATCAAAATGAAAAGAACAACATTGTGGGCTCACTTCCCTCTCAATCTGTCCTGAGCTGAGTGGTGATTGGCAGGTTTTCATTAGTAGTTGTGCTGACTCCCGCCTCCTCAAATTGCAGCACACCCTGACCATCCTACGACAAACAGGCGGCCTTGGTATCAGCATTGCTGGAGGGAAAGGATCCACGCCTTACAAGGGAGATGACGAGGTAAAACCTTTAACCGGAATCTGTATAAATTCAATAAATCAAAAGTCGTAGAATTTATAAATTAATTTTCTTGCATTGACTGTGTCTGCAGGGAATCTTCATCTCCAGAGTATCTGAAGAGGGTCCTGCAGCCAGAGCAGGGGTTAAAGTGGGAGACAAACTCCTAGAGGTAAAGACCTGAGTGTAAACACTGGCATTTTCTGTTTACTTTGCCTGTTTGTGTTTAGTAACTCTCTCCTCTGCTTTATAGAAATATTTTTAATAAAGAACACTTCATGTAAGTCATTCTCTCTTATTTTTTTTGTCTCAGGTGAATGGAGTAGACCTCCACGAAGCAGAACATCACACAGCGGTGGAGGCTCTCCGTAGCTCTGGTGCTTCAGTTTCCATGACGGTGCTACGGGAGCATATGGTGGAACCGGAGAACGCCATAACCACCACGCCACTGAGGCCGGAGGATGACTACTTCCCCAGGGAGAGACGCAGCAGCGGCATCGCCTTCAACATGGAGACGAGTCCCAGCGGACCTCGGCAGCGGCTGTCCACCTGCCTGATCCGTAACGACAAGGGGCTGGGATTCAGCATCGCAGGGGGCAAAGGCTCCACGCCTTACCGCACAGGAGACACGGTGAGACACAAAATGCATCTGTTCTGTTTACAGGCAGGGCTTCAAAGACAAATGAAATGTTTTGTTTTTTTTGCACCTTTTTCCCAGTAAAGATTTTAGACTATGAGGTAATGAGTAGATGGTTGACCTTCAGTCACTAAACACCTACATATTTGATGGCTTCCTCCTACTAAAGCACCTTGTTTACATCATGGTCTCAGGTAGCATTTGATGTTATGGTTGAAACCAATATCAGAATGTCAATAAAACCTTTTTTCAACATATTTATATTCATTGCACAATATGGCAAAATCATTTTGTTGGTAAACTACGAAAGGAATTTTTCACTATCTTTTTATATTTTAGTGACAAAATGATCAATCGAACATAATTGACAGATTATTCAGTAATGAAAACAAAGGCTGGTTGCAGCCATAATTGAATTATTACCCAATATTAGCATGACATTTACATACAAATTAAGAAGACACTGTCCGATTTAGACCCTGGCCTCGGACAGTTTACATATTAATATTTAAAGCCTCCCATTGACGTGCAAATCTGACAACTGCATCCAAGTGAAGTCTGTAGTAGATTCAGATCATAGGTTTCAGTTCAAGGGGAAAGATGATACGAAGAAAACATCTAAAGCTGCAGACACAATTTATCAGGCAGTTATTAAAGGGCCTATTTATAACAGGTATGGTCTTGAAGTTGGGAAGTTAGGTCACAAAGTGTTTGCAGTAACTGTCTCAGCCACAGGGATCTGCGTTTACAGTCATCACCAGGGAGACGGAGATATGAATAGCCAGCCTTGACACTTGATAGGTTCAATGTAATTGGACGGTGTGAGGTGTATATTTGGGCCAGCGCAATACTACATTGCAACACATGCAGCTCACCGAGCCCACAAAAAGGAAAGTACTCATAAACTTATGATTTAGTCGGGTCTGACTGTAAGTCTTGCCTCATTTTCAAAAGCTTTTTTGAAATGGATGCAGTGACTCGGTTGTTTGTTAGTTGGTGTGAGAAGACGGAGCTGAAGACTTTGCTCCTGCATGTGTTAGCACATTTTGTTTTGGTGTGGAACACTAGGAGTTCAGATGGATTTTATTTGGTTTAACAAATTGTTTGCAATTTGTCTGTGCAAAGGGGGTGATGTGTCTCAGAGGTTCTACTTTTTAATGAGCCGCTTGTGCAGCTCAGTCCAAATGAGTCTTAATGATAAAATACTATGCTGTTAATCAGTTGTAATGTATGCCCGCGTTTGTTTGTTTGTTTGTGTACAACCTTATATCAAAATTTGTGGCATTGTGAGCTTTTAGTATCTCACATTTACCAATATAAAACCTGCTAGCAGTAATGAATAAAGGAATCTATTTTTGGCTCAGGTCCTCACTGTGGGATATCACATGCTTACTGAATGGTAACTCCCCTACCACACAGCTCACAGTTAGGACACTGATTCATCACAGGATTGCAGCCCGTTGCACAAGATTCGTTACCGCCGACCCTGTCTAATTAGCAACATCTCTTTTATCCGTAGTCCTTTAACACAGCAGGAGAAAGGGCATCTTGTAGTTTTGAGTTATCAACAGATGTTCCTAAAAGTTGTAAACATGTTTCTTTTGTCCGTTTTTTAGGGAATCTACATCTCTCGCATTGCAGAAGGTGGAGCAGCACACAGAGACAGCATACTGCGTGTAGGCGACAGGGTGATCTCTGTGAGTACTACCATCGCCCCCACATCTCCATCTGGGCCCTACACTACATAGGAAATGTTTCCTTTACACTGTCCCACACAAATGTGGGAACGGGAATATTTTTAGTTTTTAAGACCCAGAATTTGTCATTTTCCACTTCGACCTTTTAAATCCAGTTGAAGTTTAAGAATGGATAATGACTCGTATTGATAAGCACAGTACATCCTGATAATTGGACATAATGTTTTTATAGGAGTTATAGTTAATAGTGTTTTGGCTTTCTAAAAAACAGCCTTATTATTTATTAGTTATTTTATTTTATATTATCCAAGATCTGGGGCCTCCTCTCAGTTTTGTGGAGGATGCCTCAGCTAACACAATGTAAAGGAAAACCTTGCCATCTTTTCTGTAAGTTTGAATATTTTCATTGCAGTTGTGTAATTGTATTCACTGCGCCCACAACACTGCTTTCATTACTCAAGTTAAGTCTGGCCCTGTCTTAGAGGGATAAGACTAACTTGGGTTAGATCCCATGTTAACCACATAATAACTGAGTCAGCATACTAATAAAGTCCTCATACTAATGTCTCCTCAGATTCATACTGTGTAGCTCTTTTGGTTAAGAAGTGTAGTATTTAGGTTATATTTTTTGCTCCTAAGCTTCTTGCACGACATATTTATGCTCCTTAGTTTCCTTCGCTGATCAAACTCCGAGCTTGGCTTTGCTGTCCTGTATCTGTCAGTGTACTAGTTTCTCTTGTGTTGCATGTTTTTATTCATTATTGTGTCACTCACTATTACTCTAAATCCACCAATGATGACTCCTCAAGTATACTTAATGTGAAACAGCTCCTTTTGAAATTGTAACTTTGCTCTCTTCCCGGGTTTACTCTCCTCTTTCCTCCGGCAGTTTTTCTTTTGTCTTTTTCTTCTCCGTGTCTATTTGTAGGCTGCCTCTTTTTTCCTCTCTTTCTCATACACCCTCCCTCTGCATGCTCACTAATGCATTAAGTGCATCTCCTTACCTGCTTGGTGGTGGGAGATGGTGTTGGGGTGGAGTGGGCTGAGCCTGTCGGGCCGCTGCCATGGTAGACATTTGTTACCATGACAGCGGCCACGGCAGCGATTCAGCCGACGGTAAGAGCTGGTACTGTCGGGTCAGTGCTGACCTCTGCTTGTCACTTTGGACCAGTTATGTACAGTTTTTAAGATTGCATGCCTGAAAGCTGCCCCCTCTCTTAATTCTATAAGAGGATGTTAACAAAACTAATGACTGAATATTTTCTTCATGACATAGTTGCAGATGATTAAGGACTCTCCTGATTGCCTTTGTTGACTTAAAATCAAACTTTTTGGACAAACTACACACTACCACTTTTGTTTTAAGTAAACAAAGGCAAGAGGGTGGGAAAGTGTTTTACTGATTTACATTTTAAAGATAGCAAGGCAAGCATTAATATACTAATTTCAGGGAATAGCTCTGCCTGCTCTTAGCCTCTCTTCCTCTGGGAAGCTCTACCAGCTTAAATTGCCTGCAGCAGCCTGGTGTTACCCCTGCTCCCTCTTTTTCTCTGCCTGTTCCTGTTGCTCTGTGTAGGTGTTGGGTTCTTCTTCAAATAACTGTACTCACTCGAATTAAAATCACAATGTTGTAGATGTTCAATAAATCCTGAGAAATAGTTTTGAGAGATGAGATGTAGATTCTGATGAGAGACGAATGTTCATCCTGCCAATGGCAAATGTGGCCCGTTGTCACTCAGAGCGTCCTGGTGGGCTGACACCCTCCGTGGTTGGTTTTACTGTCAATCCAGATCAATGGTGTAGACATGACAGAGGCCAGACATGACCAGGCAGTAGCGCTCCTTACCGGCACCTCCCCCACCATCGCCCTCCTGGTAGAGAGAGACCTGAATGCACCAGGGGGCTCTCCGGGTCAATCCCGGGCACGTGCCCACTCCCCTCCACCCCCAGAACCCTCAGATTCTCCAGACCAGGAAGAGGAAGGCCTTTCCCTTCATGGGAACCACCTGAGTCGGATGGAGGACGAGTACCCCATCGAGGTGAGACCCTTAGAAGTGACTTCAGCACTTATGCTAAATGGCTTTTTAGTTTTATTAGACCATGCAGTAGAAGCACTCTGTGTTAATGTTTGTTTATTTGGCCCGCCTCATCCTTAATGCTGTCCAGTTCCAGAGAAGATGGTGCATGGTATGAAGGCTCGGCCTAATTTAAGTAATGGTGTGCTATAGGTTGTAGCCTGGTTATACCAGGTGTATCATTCCCATCCAGTCAATAATGCAAAGATATTGCTTTTTAGCTGCTTAGAGCTGTGAACATGTCCTGCAGTAGAAACAGGTTGGTTTGCGTTTGTTAGACAAATTATAAAAGTAGATAGATTGAGACATGACTGCTATAAACAAGAAGGCTTGGTCATGAATTTGTACATTTCAGTTGGCTGTTCTGCAGTAGAATTTAATGAGTCTTCATTTGTTAAAATCTCTTTGCACAAAAGTTTTCCTACCTCCAATCCTAACAGGAAGTGATCCTGGTGAAGTCAGGTGGCCCTCTTGGCTTGAGCATCGTGGGAGGCAGTGATCATGCCAGTCACCCATTTGGCATCAACGAGCCTGGGGTGTTCATCTCAAAGGTATTATTATGAAAGAATAGTGAAGTATTGTTTTCCAAATGTTTATTATTTCCACTATTACCATGGTTTGCGTCTCACTCTCCGTGCCCCATCAGGTGATTCCTCATGGTCTGGCATGTCAGAGTGGACTACGTGTCGGGGACCGAATATTAGAAGTGAACGCCATTGACCTGCGTCATGCCACTCACCAAGAGGCTGTGCGAGCCCTGCTGGCCAACAAGCAGGAGATTCGTATGTTAGTACGTAGGGATCCTTCACCACCTGGGATGCAGGAAATTGTCATCCAAAAGCAGCCGGGGGAGAAGCTTGGCATCAGTATTCGTGGAGGAGCAAAGGGGCATGCTGGAAACCCCTTCGACCCTACGGACGAGGGAATCTTCATCTCGAAGGTACTACGACTTTGAACTTCTCATTTCTTTGTTAAACATTTGGAGGCCTTTTGGCCACATTTGAAAGAACTGGGGCCTAGAGTGCCACTAACCTATTGAGAAATACGTATTTAGAGGCTTGGCTGTTTTAAGTTTTAAGACTCATGGAAAAGATACCATCAACGAAGTAATGCATGGACCCAAATTGGAGTTACTATTAGGTTAATATAGGCAGCATTCTCATTAGTCACACCCTGGGTTAAACCACTTGCTTATTATTGATTGATATTCAAACAGGTGAGTTCAAGCGGAGCGGCAGCAAGAGACGGCCGACTGCAGGTGGGCATGCGGATCCTTGAGGTGAACAACCACAGCCTGCTGGGGATGACGCACACAGAGGCAGTGCGAGTGCTTCGTGCAGTGGGAGACTCTCTGGTCATGCTGGTGTGTGACGGTTTTGACCCACACAAAGTTGCTGCTGTAGAGGTGAGGCCCGACGAGGAGTTGGATTTTGACCAAATGGTTCTTTTCACTTACACTTGTAAACAACACTGTATAAACTGTTAATCACATAGGATGAATTTGAATGACCTCTGATTCAGTATTGTGTTTAAGGCTGCATCTAATTATTTTTTCATTATTGTTTAATCTGTCTATTACCTTTTCAATGAAGTGATTCATTACCTAGTCTACATAATGTCAGAAAAGAGGGAAAAGAAGCCCAAGATGACTTCATCTTCTTCTTCATCCTTTTTAATTTAACCAAAAGTCCAAAACTATAAATATACTATATATATTCAACTAAATATAAGAGTCAACAATGATAAATGACAAAAAAGCACAAAATATAAACATTTTAGAAGCTGGAACCACAGAATATTTTGGTTTTATGACTACTTTTACTTTAAAAATGAATTATAAATTTTTAAAGTAAGTAAGCAAGTATTACCTGCAGTTTTGATGCTAAATCATTTCCTAAAAGTTCAATTTAAATCAAAATTTTAAACAAAACTCTGTTTGGGTTCATTTCCAGGCATCTCCTGGCATCATTGCCAACCCGTTTGCAACAGGCATTGTACGCAAGAACAGTATGGAAAGCATCTCTTCTATAGACCGAGACCTGAGCCCAGAGGAGATGGACATCATACAGAAGGTACTGTGATTATTCACCTTAGCTGATGTACCTTAGTCATGAATACCAGCATCGTATATGCAGTTAATTTTAGGCGAGAGAGCAGTGTGGAGCTTTGGTTCGTACACTAGGAACCACAGTGCAGCTTGGTATCAACCAAATGCCATTCAAGTCAACACATGAATCAAATGTTTTGTTCAGCGATTCCGTTACACCACCACTGTGCTTCCACAGCAGTTTGGTGTTAGCAGGTGGAGCTGAGTGGAATGACTCACTCCAACCATGCACACCACACATACCCATCTTTCCGCCAGAGCAGCCAGAAAGCGCCAGCACAGTTGTTTATTTTGCCCAGATTAGCTTTTGGGAGGCTGCCCGAACTAAAGGAATGTAGCGGCCTGTTGGTTTGTTGAAGGCTAGTTTTTGTTGTTCCTCTGCACACTTCAGTTTAGAGGTTTTGGACATATATCCTTTATCAGAGCACACGCATAATTCATATGGAAATTTCATTGGTTTGAATTACTCCGGCTAGCAGTGCTTTCGCTAAGATTTACAAGATGAATAGTAATCATTTACTGGGATTGTAAGGATCTTAAATGTTGCTCTTTTCCAGGAGTCAGAGATGGTGAGAGAGACATCACAGTGGGAACGAGAAGAGATGGAGAAAGTGGTAAGTGAAACTGAAAATCCATTACTGATGTCGGGAGGCTAGAGGTAATTTTATTTCTGTCAGATCAGCAGATAGATGGAAATACAGTAAGACAAGAGAATATTTTGCTACAACATAGCTCAGGGAAATGCCAAACTCGAGGCTCAGGTTTGTCTGTTATCGGGTGAATGAAGCTTCTCCTCTGCACCCTATGTGGGTATTGTGTTTGACAGAACTATTCCTACAATGTCCCGCCTTGCATGCTTTTTCTGCTCCCATAGCTAATGAATAGAGTACTTTTTAATTTGTGTGGATTCTATCCTTTCTTTCCCTTCTGTTTTTTCTCTCATCTCTCCTTTACCTTTTGGTGTGTTTGGTGTGATCTGAAATCATCAAATCATCCCATCTCCATATCACCTCCTCCACTTTTATTTTTCTCCACTTCACCCCCTGTAACACTTCCTAAATCATCCACCTTCTCATTTCACCTCTCATCGCATTACTGTGTGGCTGTGTGGTTGGGTGTCTTGCCTTCTGTACTCTCCTCCTTCCCTTCCTTTCTTGGTGAAGGAGCGAATGCGCTTGGAGCGTGAGGAGGCAACTCGCCTGCTTGAAGAGGAGACTGAGGTGAGACACTCCTCAATGGCAGGTCCTCAGACAAACTCTCCCTTCTGTACAAAACGGCAGCTTCACCACAAACACCACAGATCTGCTGCCACAGGATTTTACCATGTTACTTATCCCTGTATTTTTCAGGGAAAATAGAATCTTCTCTTTTGGTTTTCTTAAATTAATCAGGCTTGAGCGTTATTCAGACTGGCTTGGTTTTACTGGAGAAGGCCCAGAGTTACACAAATGTGTGTTCAGGTGACATTAAGGTAAAAACACCACAGACTCAGTTTTACTTACTGGCAGATTTGCCTCAACAGAGCAGAGGGGCAGGTTCCTACAGTTTAGTCCTGCTGAAAGCTTGGTGTTGAGACCAAAAATGCCCCTGTTTCTTTTTCTTTCTTTCTTTTTTCTTCTTTTTCTTTTTAAACAAAACCCAAGGGTTTGCATTGGTGGTGGTGGGGTGTTGTTTCACAGAACTGTGAGACAATGAAGTACTATCCTTAAAGTCCACTTTGGGTGAGTTATCAAAGTCACAATCGCATGTCCATATTACTTTAAAGGCCAGACAGTGAAGAACAATCAACTCCGAGGTTTGACTTGACTTTCCTTTAAATATAACAACACATTACACGTTGGGGAATTTCTTTAGCTGGTCGACATTTAAAATAAAAGTGTGGATCCTTAACCTTGTAGGAACGAGTCTCTACACTTCCATACATGGCCTTTCCCAGTTAAACTAATTCACTTTGAATAGATGCCTGTTGTGTAATAAACCCTCAGCCTAAACCACCTCTCACCTCTGTTTCTATTTATTTCCCTGTAGAACATCAGCACTGGACCTCTAAAACTTGACTACAAAACCCTGGCTGCACTGCCCACCACCAGTCTGCAAAAGGTCAACAGGGTAAGTGTCTGTGTGTTCTAATGTCTGAAGACAGTAGGTAAAGTTTTGATGCTAAATCCTTCTTATGAATAATATTGGTCGTACTTTTCCAAATTTTTGAAAAAACACAAAAGGCTCGTTCCCTCTGAGTTGTGAATTGCTTGTATTTTTGTGTGGGCTATGCTGGAAATGGCCTTCAAAGCTCAGAATAGACTTTGTCATGGAATCCCTCATGTTTATGTCTGTGGAAAACTCTTGAGTGACCCATACCCAACCAGTTGGCAGGAATGTTACCTCCCCTCCACGTGCATAACCCCCCAGTCAACATTACTGGATATTAACCTCAAGCTCCAAGGCCAAACCCGTACAACATATCAGGTCAGTGTGATGTAACTCCGTCCTACATCAATTAACAAGAGCAGACGAGACCAACATGGATTGAAGAAACAACATGAAGAACAAGGACTTATCAAGAAGTTTGGGGAAAAAAGAATGTGAAGATCAACCTCATCTGGAAAGAATCGAGATCAGAAATATAAAAGAGAGACAACTAAAAAAAAAAAGTAGAGGTACAGTACAAAGGAAGCGTGGCCAAAGGGCAGGCACTGTCCTGGTTGATAAAGAGTGTGTAAGAGAGTGGTGAGAAGGGGGAAGGGGGACAGCTGCCCACTATCAACCAGCCTGTCCTCTGCGATATTTTAAACCCGCATCTGGCTCAGAATTGGATGGAGTCTCTTGGGTGGGTGGGGCACCAGACAGAGAGGGAGGGTGTTGTCTAAGAGGAACAGGCAAGTGTCTCAGTTTGAGTTCTCAAAGTCCTGGGAGGAGTAAGTTTGAGTGGACATACAGTGCTGTCCTGTTACCGTCCTATAGTGAGTATAAAGCTGCTCAGTGGGCAAGAGTTGACTGTTTTAGCTTTTTTTGTTTTTGTTTTTTCTTTCCTCTTTTGTGTGTTTGTCCCTGCTTCTGTCTGTGATTGATGTCGGTCCCTCTCTGTGTGTCTGTTGGGTGGGAGGATTTCATGATTTTTGACTTGGCTTTTGACACAAGTTCTGTTCTCTTTTGTTTCGATTGCATTTTTATTCTGTTCTCTTAAATACACATTTTCAAACTTTAAAGGAACAATAAATTGTCCCGTAGTGCTCATAGAGACATTTAAGTTATATTAACTATTACTACGTGTAAGTTGTGTGAACATCCATGACCGCTATAATGACTTTGCTTCTCCAGCACACGTGACCGTGCTCAAACTGTATCATAGTGACCCACTAAGGCTGCCTTCAAGTTCATACTAAAGTTGTTGTTTTTTTTATGTTGAACAGCAGAGATGGTTATTGATAATATAGGATTAGGATCATTGAGGAACATTGAGCTGATTTATTTTAAAAAGGTTTAATTTGTCTTGAAAAAGAAGTGTGATCTAAACATTGGCAATACAAGACTGCCATCATTACTTTCACAGGAAAAGTGACCAGGGTGTTTATTCAGACAAGAAGCCAACATACAGTATTAAATTGCCATCAGATTAACATCAAAGGGTTCAGGTCTGAAAGGTGCTTAATGTTACTGGAGCTTATTGTGCAGTTAGTTTGTGTCTCTTATATAATCAAGAGACAGAGTGAAAAATCAGATAAATAAATACATTTATTTTTCATCTTTGAAAAACCTAGAGTGTAATTTAACACCACTTACCGCTGTTCTGGAAGCATTTCCAGAATCCCTAAAGACTATTTATTCACCCAGGTTAATGTCGGTGGTCAGTGTTGACAGTGATTTTTACAATGATTAATGTTACTTGGGAAACCTCTGGTAAGCAATTCAGCATGAGGGTGTTTGTTACTGGTATTACAGGTGTTAAAACTAAAATTCAGACAGTCAAAACTAAAGACTACAACTATCAAAAGTATCAGTTGTTCAGTTCCCGGTTCCCTTTGACTTGCAGCTTTTCCCAGCATGGCTAACTCACTATGCTGGCATGCTGGCATGCTGGTGAGCTAGCAGCCTCGCTTGCCTCTGTCACACCAGAACCCCAGCTGTCCCTCACAGTCTGTGTCGGAGCCAAAAGGGCACTCGTTCACATTCCATCCCACTGACCCTCATCACACCACCGACTCTTATAGTCAGCATGTAGTGACACATTGGTGCTTCACAATGCTCGTATTCTTGGTCCGACTATTTTGATTATCACCAGATATATCGAGGTCACGTCTAATAAATTCCAAAGTAGTTTGCATGTTTGATTTTCTGGATTGACTTGAAGGTTTTCCCTGTATTTTTAAGTGTCAGGTATGTAGATAAACATGACACCTTTTTAAGTTTGTACTAAGAGTATCAGGTTTCTTGACATGGGTTGGTTCAAACATTGTATATTTTCTGTCCTCGTGTCATCAGCTGTCTGCCTCATGTCTGTCTGTTAAGTACAGTAGGAGGTGAAGGTGTGCTGGAGCCTGAATGTCTCGCTGCTCTGATAATATGGTTATTTAAGGCAGAGGCCAAGAGCCTTAACTATAGTAATGTGTCCAGTCGCTTACCGCACCAGGTCTTGAATGATGAGTTGTGAGAAACTTATCTGAAAGGCTCCAGGAAAGATTTAGTGATGTGAGTAACTCGTACGCGTGTGTCAAGTTTCTATTTATAAAACCAGAAACTAAGACAGTAGAGTCTGAACTTATTTTAGTTTTTTTTATTTGGTCGTATGTAAGAGGTTACTTTTATTATTTTTATTTTCCCTGAAATGTTCTTGATTTTATTTTTCTCAATTTGACCCCAATGATCAAGGTTTCCTCACTTTTCGAAACTGCTCTTTAAGGATAACTCTGGTCCATTACAACTTGGAAATCAATGATTTAGTTTTTAGCCTTCTTAAACTCTGTCATAATTTTACTCAATCTCAGCAACTCCTTTGGTGGAAGCAATTTGATTAAAACCGACTGAAAGAATGGGCAACAGAGGAAAAGTTCATCTCCTTGTTATGAACCTCCCTTTTCAGTTTCTCCTCTGTTTTGAAACTTCCAGCTTTTCTTCTTTTACCTTCAATTAGTGATAATTTCCTTTTGTATGAGTTATAGTGAGTGAGTGCATCTTTTTTCTCTCATTCCTTTATTATTATCAGTTCACTGTATCTGTCCTCCTCCTCTTTCCTTTGCTCCTGTTCAGTTCTCTACTTCTGTTCCTCTGACTGCTCCCATGGAGGCGCCCCTGCAGGCCCAGTATGGAGCCCCTTTAGAGCCTCTGGGCTTTAGTTTAGGTCATCCACCCCTCAGCCACATGGACCCCGAGTCCTGCCCCAGTCTAAACACAGAGCACGATTATCTTCTTGGATCCCAGTTCTCCCCTAATGGGAGCTCCATTGCTGACAGTGCTGGCTCATCCACAACCATCAATTCAGCAACATTTGCACCTGAAGAAGAGGAGTGCCTGGTGGACTCTCAGCCTATCTGCTTCAAAGAAAACCCTTTCTTGGTGGCCAATCGCAAAGGAAAAGGCCTTCCCGTTGGAGAGCAGATCCTGTCGGGGCCTCCTGTGGGCTACGGGAAACCAGGCCAACTGCAGCCATGGTTGTTCAGCAAGGCAAGCCGCCTGCCTGCGTGTGGTTTGGAGGCAGCATGGTGTGTTACTGCACAGTTTGTTGTTTTGCTTTATTGTGTCCATTGAGATGGACAAAGCAAGTGTTAACTTTTTAACAGTCACGCTTTTTTTTGATTGTGTTTCTAAAGCACCACATAGTAACAAGTATGCAACAGTTACAACGTTGATGATTATTGTTTTGAGTCATTTTTAAAGGACAAAATGTCCAAATTTTAAAAAAATGCATATATTAAATAGTGTAGTAGATTGTCAACTGAACTTCTTTGGGTTTCGAAGTGTTAGTCTGACAAAATAACACGTTTCTGTCAGTGCAAATCTTCATGGGGAGAAGCATTTTCTTCTGAGGAAGTGTGTCCAGGTATGAGTGTATTAATCTCAGTGTAATAAGGAGCCGAACTGGTGCGTGTTTTTGCTGTGAGCACAGAGCTTGTGGCACCTCGTGAGGTATTTGGGCCCATAGTCATTTCATAGTCGGGATTGACTGGAATGTGTGTCCCAACAGCTGCAAGGAGGGTCGTAAGTCACGAAGGAACACGACTCGCAAACCGCACTGTAAAGTGCATGTTTATCAGCGGGAGCCTGTTGTTGGTTGAATTTAATGTACAATGATTCTACTACAGGACTAACCAGTGAAACTTGCTTTTGTCTTTTCTTCACTGTTTTTTCAGTGCACTCACTCAAAGTAAGAGCAGCCGTTAAGTGTGTTTTTGGTCTGATTTTCCAGGCTCCTTCCTCTGATTTCACCAGGACAGACAGCCCAATCAGGGAAGCACCCTACTCTCCCACTGTCCAGCCGGTGAGCAGCTATTATAAATATTCTGTTTTCATATCATCTCTTCATTTTATTTCCTGCTTTTCCATGAGTCACTTCCAGCACAATAGAAGGTGTTTTACAGGTGACCCTTTTGACCTTTCCTCCCACCCTTAGCCCAGCCACCACTCTTCCAACAGCTCCCTGGCAGGCAGGGAGACCCGCTTCGTAAGTGGGTCTCTGGCCCAGTCTGCTCTGGCCTGGATTTTTTTTTAGAACACGTGTCAGCTGCTCTGAGCCCTGCATCTCTTAATAAAACACAGAGACAATAACTAGTTCAGCTATCATGTCTGCCAGTCTGAAAAGCATGTGACCGCTTCTCTGTGACCAGCTGATTACTGATGCTTTGCCTCATGCAGACTGGGTGTGTCATTGGAGAAGCAGAGTTTTGACTGATTGTCCTTCATGTCTCTAACTGACCAGCTGTGGATTAATATTCTTTAAAAGGATAATAACAAAGTAAAAATTCAAATTTTCCTTGAGCTTAATTATCTATTTTTAATCAAGTTCAAATGTGACAATGGGAAGAATTAGAGATCAAATTGGCTCAAGGTAAATCCTGGTGGTGTTTCATTGCTGGCCTGGCATCATCCTAAAGAAACAGTTGTGTAAATTTAATGACTGTTGAAATCCAAATAGAAGGTGGAGATCTATGCATTTTTATTTCATTGTCATTATTTTATTTTGTCATTTTTATTTATTTATTTTTTATTTTTTTACAGGCAAACATTCATTACACCTCCACTCCCACTGCCAAGGACAACGCCTCATCATCAGTGAGTGTCTATGGAGCTTGAAAATCAGCCACTCAGCAAATAACTTAACATAGTAGAGCTGGACTGATCACAGTAGTTAACCAATATATCAAGCCAATTTATATTGGCCTTTTTTAGGAAATATTTATCTGACAGATGTGTGAAAGAAATTTTCATCCTAACTCCATAGACCAATCTGATGGTAATTTATGATCAGGCGCATTTCCACCATTGACTCCATTCATTTTGAGTTGTCTTTCATGCTAAAGTTTTGCATGTTTGACTCTTCATTATGTGAAATATCATGTGTTTTCTCTCCAGACGCGTCCGGGTGCCATCCAGCCAGTTGGCCGTGTGCGGCCAAGTACCTCCCCCGCCACTCCGGAAGGCCACAGTCCCAACCCCTTCCAGCATGGCCCCTCCCCCTTCAACTCCCAGACCTCTGTAAGACCCCTCACCACCACGTAGGGCTGTTTTCCACCACTCTCAGCTCTGTGCCACGCACTGTGACTGCACAGCCCCAAAAAGCTCAAATGGTGTCCAACAACTGTACATCAGACACAGATAATTATGGCACAAGAATGATTTTTGTTTCTAAATGAGAACCAAAGAAAGGAAGACTTGTATTTGAATTCACAGCAGAGCTTGCATCTGTGCAGGCGGCGCTGTCTTTGAACCCCAGGCACACCTGGAGGTGTTTGAACTACACCTGCAAACGGAGCATCCCACCTGACTCCTCATAATTGCAGCTCTCTGAAATGTTCACTCATTTCTTTTTTTGGCAAGCAGCATAACTGAATTGGTAAAGAGTGACAAACCTATGATTTCATCTCGCATCTTCCTGATTATTTCACAAAGGTGCTCATACAAAAAAATCTGTCATGGCTTTGAACTTTCCGAGCCCTACTGTCTGTCTTTCTCTGGCATACTCCCTCCTCTCTCACATGAAACCAGCTGCCATGCTGTTCACCTGTTCTCCACAGTCTTCTTCAACTTTGCTGGTTTTTTTCATAGTCTACCCTCTCCTCCATGTCTGTGTCTGTCTGTCCTCCCTACCTCCTCTTCTTCCCCTCGCCTCCTTTTACCATATGGACTACCCCATCCTCCATGCCCTCCCGTCCCCCCCCCCTCCCCCCCCTGCAGCCTCGTGCCCCTTCCCCCACCTCGCCCGACGAGCTCCCCATGAATGTCAAGCAGGCATACAAGGCGTTTGCCGCCGTGCCTCGCTCACTGGCAGTGCTGGAGCCTCCGCAGGTAGGCCATGCTGCCCGGACTCGCCCGGGTCACAATGACACAAGCATGCTCTGCTGATTGGTTGGTCTCGCCCCGCCCCCTCCTGACTGGAGCAGGCTGTCCTATAAGGAGCCTGCACACTGTCGGGGGGCCTGTGACGTGCTGTGACGTGTGGAATGCCTTCATCGTTGGTTTTTGTACTCCAGTGCCATCATCTGTCATACTGCTGTTGACTCTTGATCCATTCGTCCATCCATGTGTGGCTCGTGTACTAATATTCAATCCTCTTTTTTATATATTGTATCCCAGCTGCTAATCAGTCTGCCTGCTCTGTATCTCTGTCTTCTCCTGAGTCTGAGGTTCCTAAAAATTTTTTAACACTCTCTTTATTTCCTGCTCTGCCCAGCAGGACCTGTTTGGTGTGAGGAACAATTTCCACCCAAAGCAGCCTTCTCCAGAGGTGAGTACACATATCGACCCAAAAATAATAAAAGCACAGCTGTCTGAAATGAAAAAAGTAGGGCTTGTATTATATTTGAGGAGTAAAAGCGCATGTGCTCTCATCATCAGATTTTGCTACTGTCTGTTTACAGTTAGTTTTGCTCTAAAAGGTTTTAGGAAATCACGTGCACGAGTTATAGATGGCTTCCAGGTTCTAGATATGTTCCAAGTGTACTGCAGAAAATCCTGGCTCTTAGTCTGACAGTCTGGTGACAACCTCTGTGGCCTTTTCAGCCTGAGTTGAACAACGAGGTGTTTGATGATGACATAGATGGTCAGGAAGGAGCTGGTAAGGGTCTGACTAGCAAAGTCTCCCCTCGGCCCTCCCTCGCATCTGACCGTCGGGAGTATATGAGCCTGGCAGCAGTGCCTCGCCTCTCCAGGCCGTCAGTGGAACTGCAGGTACCCACCGCCTCCACCACAGCTTGGGCAGCCCTGTTCTTCTTCTGGGCTGTGGTGTGCTTGGCTTGACCGGTGGTGGTGTCTGTTCTCTCTGAGACTGAGAGTCAGACGTGCTACTTCTGTCAATAATGGAACTGCCAGTTACTTGACCTTAAATCAGCTCAATGGTGCTGGGTTCTGATTGAATTTTTTCTCTTTCTTCTTGTCCGCGATACTTTTTTCTGTAGCGTCTCTTGTGATTTTGGCAAATGGCTCTGCAACAATGCAAATGGCAATAAAAATCAACCTTTTAGCAGCAAATATTGGCATTTCTTTTGCTGTCTTCTCGTTTGTGAATATTTCAGGTGCTCATCTCAGCACTAATCTAACTTGCATCATTTTGTATTCTGCCCTTGATTTTCCTTGTAACCCAACAGAGTCCCTCTCCTGGTGGTAAGGACAGCCCAGAGCAGCGCTCTTTCAGGGACAGACAGAAGTATTTTGAGATCGACGTGAAGCAGCAGACTCCAGAAAAACCCAAACCTCGAGTTTCTCTTGTTGGAGAGGATGATCTTAAGAAAATGAGGGAGGAAGAAGGTATGTGTCCTCCAGTGTGTCTCCTTGAACATCCGTGCTGATAACTAATAAAACCTCTCACTTGGGTGACCTGCCCTCAAAACTTAAAAGCCCGTCTGTTCATCTCACCCCAGCGAGGAAGTTTGAGCAGCGGGCGCAGGAGTACCTGCTGGACGAAGATGAGGAGGATGAAGAGGAGGATCTGGCTAAGCAGGTCGCTCAGATGAAGGCCACCGGCAAGGTGTTGCTGGATGGAGTGGAGTATAAAGTGGAGCCAGTATCCAGCCCAACTCAGCATTGCTTCACACCACCGAGCTACAACGTCACACCACCGAGCTACAACGTCACACCACCGAGCTACTGTGGCAGCTCAGGGTAAGAAACTGTATATTGTTATTTCTTTATACATCATTTTCTTTTCTTAATTTCTTCAGCTAACTCTTTCTCTTGTGCGTAGACCCTCCTCTGTTGATGGTAAGGGAGAATCTCAGAGGAATTCACTGGAGGACAGCTTCAGGCTGGAGCAGAGGCCCAACTCCATGACTGGGTAATGGCAACGTACAGTATCATGTCTGTGAATGTCTGTGTGCTGTTGTTTGTGTTACTGTAGTCATGATTTCTCCTCCTCTGCCTTGTCAGTCTGATCCCAGTGTACCCCGGGGAGTCGGCCGCTCCCATCCGCACAGCCAAAGCAGAGCGCAGACATCAAGAGAGACTTCGCATGCAGAGCCCTGAGCTGGCTGTGGCCCCTGACAAGGACCTGTCCCCTGCTGAGAAACGGGCTCTGGAGGCAGAGAAAAGAGCCATGTGGAGAGCAGCACGGTAAAGTATCAATGTCACACACATTCACTGAAGATAAAATGGCTAATCAGGTCTTTTGTTGCATTTTTAAGCTTTTACTTTGCCTTTTGTCCTCAGCTAATATTTCTTGCACTGATGGTAATATGGACGTGTTAGAGATGAAGTGAATACAGTTGGATACAGTTTCATGTAGTTACTTTAATACAGTATGATAGTTTGCCTGTGGTTGGAAGAAGGAAATTGTAAGCATAACAAATTTACATTTTCGCAATGATGAGGCAATTAGTCTTTTTAGTTACAAGATAAAATCCTGTTAACTCCTGATTATTTTTCATTAGTAAACGTTTAGATTATTGGATGAATTATACTGTCTTTAAAATGTCATTGTTAATGACAGAGGACAAGATACCATACAACAAAAACTGATTGCTGACTCTTAACTAGTTGAATGTAGCCGAAAAGAAGAAGTAGTAGTAGTAGTAGTAGTAATAATAATGATGATGATAATTTTGTGACGACATAAAAGCTAAAGAAAACCAAGCAGAACAAGCTAATCCTGGCAAGTTATAAACAGCAATATAACTATAACCAGCTATGCTTTTTTTTTCTTTTAATAAAACATTATTTAAGTTTCTGTCAGCTGATGAATTAGTGATAAATGACGTCAGGACTACGTTGAACCATGATGCCTTTTTTGGCTGCTGGTGAAACCTTTAGTTGCAGCTGAAGAGGGACATGTACGTCTCATGTTAGTTCATGCCGCCACCCCACCCCACACCCCCCCACCCCCCTCCTGCCACGCTAATATTAATATTTTCACTTCTATATGTTCACAACAGTGTTTATAGATATATCGTATATAATATTTTCACTCTTCGTAATTTTGGACAAAGCAGGTGTCAGAAGCAGAAGGGGGGCGGGGGTTGTGTTGAGTGACAGGTTACTGTGCACGTGATATAAACCTTGACTGTGATGATAACACTGGCAGAGGGAAGCACGTGGACACTGATACAAGTAATCTATTTACTCATGTTCTCAGTTTCTTTAAACAGATCTTTGTGTATATACTTCTCACTTTTTGCCCTAAAGTTTGAGCCTACAGTTTAAAGGTAAATAGCAAACATACAAATTGTTCTTTGTTGTACTAAAGCAAAGAAGGATACTGACACTTACTGTCCCATATTTCCTGATAACCAGTTTGTTGAGCAGGTCAATAACAGGGTCCATTTATTTGCAGTCAACCCAAACATAAGTTCACAGTTGCTTGTGTTGTGACACCAGCATCCTGTGTGTGTGTGTGGTTAGCCTGTCTTTTCTCTCATTATTTAAAATCTAAAAGATCTAGAAAAGAAAAAGCCTAAAAATGGGATCTTTATTTAGCATTTCTGGCTCTGTTAATTTTGTGGGTGTTTTACCTTCCATTCTTTGGTTTTCTTCTCTTTTTCTGTCTGTGTGCCTTCCCTTTATTCCTTCCTCTCCTCTTCACATTTCTCCTTCATCCTGGTGTACTTTTCATCCCACCCTCTCCTCCTCTTTTTCAACCTCTCTCCCCCCCCCTCTCTGTGGCCTTGTGGGCACAGGCCCTGTGGCCTAGAGGAGGATGTTAGGCAGTATGAGCAGGACCTGGCTAAGAGGCTCTACCAGGCCCGAGTGAGGGCATCTCAGGGCACGGCCGCGGCCCCCCAGCCCCCCACCTCTTCCTCTACCTCCTCCTCTGCAGCCTCCCAGCTCAGGTCTGCTCCACGGCCCCAGCCACCAGGGCCAGACGCACGGCATCATGGGGGGTGTGCTGGGGTGCTTTGGCGTTGCGGTATTTTGCTAGAGGCAGAGTTCAGAAAGGTCCAAGCAAGCACTCACAGCAGCGACACTGTGCCAGTGCTTCCACTGCCTTTCTAGTGCTGTCTTGCTTTTGCACGTCTTTGCTGTTTCCATTTCTAGCTTCCTCTGGTTCCTTCCTCTCTGTCCTCTGTCTCGTCTCCCCCCTCTCTGCAGCACTTTTCTTTTTCATTTGTGCCTTGCTGTTCTCTTGATATTCATACTATTATTTGTACTAACACACAGCTTGCAGTAAGTTTGCGAGCTATTTGTGAGTTGAGGGTAAGCCTACTAGCAGTAGGTAGTCCTTTTCCTGGAATGCCTCCCTTTTTATTCTGCTATGAAATTAAACCGGTTTGGCACAGCAAACCAGGACAAGGAGCACCCAAAATAAGTAGTGACTGGCACTGCACCCACCCCAGTGGTGTGTGCCTCAGTCTTTGTATCTTTATTTCTTTAAAGCTTTCATTTTCTTTTTATTTACTTTTTTATTTATCCTTTATCTGATGGTGGTTGTTTCTCTTGTAGAATGAAGTCTCTGGAGCAGGATGCACTTAAGGCTCAGATGGTCATAGCCAAGTCTCGGGATGGGAAGAAACGTGGGACACTAGACCAGTTGACAGAGTCGCCCTCGCCTGCCCCCACCCCTTCTCCTACACCAATGGAAGGTATGAAGCTGCTGTCCTTAAAAGCACTGAGGCCTATTCATGTGGCAAACATCTATTTGTTGTTATGTACTTACCATCCTCTGTACTTAATAACAAGTGGTTTTTATACAGAACCACCACCATCAATTTCTGAGTTGTTGTGTCCATACAGTAACTTAAAGTCTCTCAGGTCGGCTAACCAGTGTTTTCTGGATGCTCAACTTCAAATGAAGGGAGACTGAGCATTGCCTGTGTTATCCCCTAATATCTGAGATGTTTAACTCTTACCATTAGATCAATCCTACTGGAATTTTTAAGAAATGTTGTTCATGTTTCACTTGATGTTTTTCTGAAGCACTTGGTAACTTCTGTAGTAGTACTACATAAGTAAATCTTTACTTACTTACAAGTAAATTACACGTATAGCTTGATCATTCATTTCAACCCTTCTTTGCTTTTCTTATCCAAGTTGACATTTTGTTTTTCTCTGACAGAGCTCAGTCCTCGAGGAGTAACCTCACCTGGCAGGCTGGTAAGCACTAAACCTTTTTACCTCTTCTTCATTTCCACTTTGTGACTTATGCTTTCACTGGCCTTTGTATCGGTGTGAATGGTTTAGTTTATCCTTTTGTATGGAGCTTGAATCATCAAATATTTGAACACATCTGTAACAATGACTTTGCAGTTTAATCTAAGGAGCTTTATTTGAGAAAGGCAACAAATAATGCTGTTTGTTTACAAGATGGAAAAGGCAAACGTAGATTTGCTTCAAAACACATTGACATTAATCCTTCATCTTGCTCATTGTCACTCCAGCCAATCAGAGCTGAGAACACGCACCGCTCTCCCACCATATGCCACAGCTGGCTGTCTGAATCACCCATTAGCCTCTCTCCCTCCTACCCCTTCCCTTTCTATTTCCTCCACCCTTTCCCCCTCTCACACCTTTTCTCCTCCGTTCTTTTCTTTGTCCCACTCTCTTCCTTCCTCTCTGTCCTTATATTTTTCTTTTCCCTCTCCCTTGACCTCTGCTCATCCCTGTTTACTATCCTTCTAGTCCCTGTCGTCAAAGAAGTTTGACTACCGACAGTTTGCCGCCATTCCTTCTTCCAAACCCGTATACGACATCCAGGTATTGGCTGCATGCCGAGCTCCGGGCCCCCCCCCCCCTTCCCCGTGGCTTTCCCTGCTGCCTCTCCCCTGTAGTTTCTGTTGATCAAGAGGCATCAGTGCAACTGCAGTCTGGGTTGTGGCTCAGTGATTGATCAGTACTTCTTCCTCTGTACTATTATAGTGGTGTGGCTCACTAACTCTCACTTGCACAATGAAGAGAGATTTTTACTTTAAACAATGACACACAAAATCAGCCCTGGGTCTGCCTCCCCTCTCCCTGGTCTCCCCCTCACCACTCACACACGTAAGAGCATCTTTAGCAGTTACCATCATACCCATCTATCTCTCAGCTAACTAATCAATCACAGACAATAACACTCACCAGCTGCAGAGACACAGACATGTTTTTGATCCCACTAACCAGAATTGGTTCCGGGGGAAAATAGCCACAAACATTTCATCCACTCACAGTCACGTCCATCAGCTGTCCTGTTCCACGCATGGGGCGCACATCAGACAGAGGAATAACATGTCCTCCATAAGTTTTCTTCTCATGCTCTGGCTTTTGAAACACTGATCTGCTAAAGGCTTTCCCTCTGCACTTTCAATAGTTTTGTGTAGGATTGTGTGAAATAGCTAATTTCTTCCTCTTGAGATGGGAGGGGAAGCAGGGGAATCCTGGAATGGCGCTGGAGAATGAGCAGAGCTTGTCTGGAAATGGTCTTTCATTTTTTGTGGTCAGGTATCTGTGGTTGTCCGTCACAGTGTCAGTCTGCGCTCCTGAGTGTGGGGGCTCTTGTTTGGTTGTTGCACAATGACCTTTGTGTTCAGGTCCTCCCTCTGGTGGGTGTAACTGAGTTGTAAGTGTGTTTGCATTCTGTTTGAAATTCCTGCACATGACTTGATGAAAGTACTGTTTAAAGGAGAGGTTCAGGTTTTTCCAGATCTAATTTTAATACACTACTTACATGCCTAAATCAATGAATTGATTAATTGATAATTAAAACGATTGTTAGTTGTAGTCCCAGCATTTTGTTGTGAGTCCGTGGATTTTGTCCTTTATCTCATACGATGGAGTTGTGATATAAAGGAATCACTACAGCAACTAATAACTCTGTCAGTGTACATATGGGCATGTGAGTATTGTATTCAGAAAGACTTGAAAAAAGTCTGAACCTATCCTGCGAGTTGGTGTTAGTAAGGTGACTTTTGGTTACGTAGAACAACCAGCTTCTAGACACTGATAGTGAGGGAAAGTCAAATTAAAATCTAACCAAATAAAATTATGGGTGGTGGTGTATAAAAACATAGATGAGTACAACTTAACGTGCTGCTTGGTTTTCCATTGTGCATTGTTGACATTGGTGCATTGTCGGTGCTGTACTGTTGCTGTTGGCTGTCTTTTTGTGGATGTGCCTTCACTACACAACAAACCCCGGAACTGATGACCTAACTTAACCTCCCTTTCCTTTAACATGCCAATCTCTCCTGGGGGAGTAGTTGAGTAGAAGTACTGTGGTTCTTGTGGCTCTGACAGATAGGGAGCTTCAGTGCTGCCGGCTAATCCAGTGAATGGCTGGTACTTCGCCTCACCGTCTCCCTTGCTGCCAGTTCCACTACTGACATGGTGAAGGTTTCCCCAGGGATACAGGTTACTAAACAACCCTACTGCTCAGTTATTCACTGTCTTTTCTTCTCTTCCAGTCCCCTGACACAGTTGACGACATGCAGTTCATCGACGATGGCTCCAGCAACCCAGGTGAGTACAGGAGCTATTCAGTCTGTATGAAAACAGGCTTTGTAAAAGGGCTAAGTGTAAAAAATGTGCATGGACAATCAGAAATGCATTTATTACTTCAATTTGTTCTATCCCCTTTGATTCAGGTGACTACCTGGGATAAGCAGCTCCTATTGGTAGGATCCTGTGTGCATGTGTTTGTGGCTCTGTGTGTTTATATGGCAGAGTATGTATGGAAAGTGTGAGGAGAGTGTGTTACTTTTTGGATTTATACTCTAACCTGCTTGTTGTGTGGCAAACTGGCATAGCAGTGGGTTCAGGTATTTAGCCCGGTGTATTTATCAGGTATGCTTCACCCACTGATGCCCACAAGATATGTAGCAGAAACTGATGTTGAGACCAAAGTGGAAGAGAAATTTGTTGTGTCTAAGTTAATAATCTCATACTAACCTTGACTTTGCATGATTTTCTTTAAGGCTTAAATGAAACTAGTGATTACAGGGAGCTCTAGCAGTTTCCATTAGCATGTTGGTGTCATTATGTTTACATGCACACATCAAACCAGGTTACCAAAATGCTGCATTCAGATAAAATTGTTTAAACTGTAATTATGAGCACCTGGAATAATTGTGCCAATACAGCATAAATCTAACATATGCAATAGGTCAGTAACCAGAAGTCTCATCTACCGCCGACTTTATCAGTAAGACGTGTGTCCAAAATAAAGTGGTTGTAGTGGTGCTGTGTTTGACAAATGTTCAGTGGAGGGAACAGATTTCAAGGTGTTGGGATAGAATTATTTTAAATGTGACAATGCCCTGCTATACTGCTCTCCTTTCATCCACCTGCTCTGCTGGCAGAGATACTTTCTCTGTCTTAAGTGCATGTAAACAAACATTTTAACAAAGGGTTGCAAATTGGTTCTTGAAGTAACTTTAATGGCATCACCTGTTGCTGTGAGTTTGAATAAAGAGCCCATTGAGGTGGCAGGTTTAAACATGCAGTCACTAGGTGCTTTACTTCTTTGCTCAACACTTTTGGGTCCTGCTTGTTTCCAGCTGCTGATTTAAATGTGGGGCTTTTCTCGCAGGTTTAAGGGATCCATCCACTTTCTCAACAGTTGAATGCTGCACAGGAATTTTCTGTCCAGTCGCCTAAATCTTTCCTCCTCTCCACTGCTGGTGTTGGGGATTGAATGTCAAGTAAAAAGAAGCTTAACTGCAGCAGGTGGCAAGTGAAATTGTGTTGAAGTTGTTCTGTCTGTCTTTTGTTATTTCCTAGGGCTCACTGCAAACCCTGAGGCCGAGGTTCCCACCTCACTGCCTGCCACCTCAGCCCTGGAGGAGATGGCCTTGTACAGCAACAAGCGCAAACTGAGGCAGGGTCGCCGCAGCCTGGAAACCGCCGTGCCCACGTAACACCTTAAAGTGAGACATATTTACATATGCTGTGGAACACTGGCAAACACATGGGTGCATCCACAGGAGGTGCAGTCACTAAACACTACACAGTGTCAGTAGAGCGAGATTTACTCTCCCATATATAACCACTGCAGAGACTTCAAAGCTGATAGTCGCCACACATACACACCCACTTATATCTTGAGTGCCAGTCTTGCCTTTACAGTCTGTGGGTGAGTTGGCAAGTTGCTCAACAGTCCCTCAAGGGCAAGAAAGAGCTAGAGTGGTTAGCTAGGATCGCTACTTACAGACACGTTTTTTTGTTCCACATTCTGTTTGCCTGGTAGAATCTGATCTATTTTAACAAAAGGTGACCGAAGTTTTTAGTTTTCGTTTTTTATTTTTCATGCTCCAATGATTTTGTTGTTTTTTTTGTTTTTTTTTAAAAACATACTGGAAGAGAAAAGAAATGGGTCATAGCTATACTAACTTCTTGAATGATATTTTTAGACTTTCAGTGAATAGATTGTAAAATGCCAAGGGTTTCTTGACACTTGGGCGGACAGGAGTGTATATATTATTGATGAGAGAACATCCTGCTACCTTCACAGTCACAAATAGTGGAGAGCTTTTTAAAAAAAAAAACAAAAAAAAAAACAGTACATATCGCTTTTGCACTGCCATTGATCAGCTTTTTAAGAACGTATATATCTTAATTTATTGTTTTTATCATTTTACTCAAATTGAAGGCCTTCTATTTTACACTGTTTAACCCATCCAGTCCGTTTGGGATCAAGAGGTTGACTGAAGTGTATCATAATCTACCTTAAAAAATGTTTCAATGATACAGTTATGAGTCATGAAGACAAAGCTTTGAACTAATGAATTGCCTAATACTTTATCATTAAATCTACTTTATAAACACTTTTGAATTTACCATGGGCTTTTTGAGGCAAGCATATGTACAAATTACATTGCTTGGACAAAACCTGCTGTCGCACATCAGCATCTTCACACGTTAAATGTCGGTAGCTCTTATCTCAGCAGACTTCAAAAGAGCATCTGTCCAAATGTCTGAGACCACTTCCTCATTTGAAAAAGTGGTCTCAGACTTTTGGACTCCACTGTTTCTTCTGTGTTACATTCCCCCTGTAAAGATGTAACCACACTTGAGGCGGCAGCAGCAATGAGCAGGCAGTTTTACAGATACTCAAAGTTTGGGATCATGGATTTTTTAGCATAATTTACTAATTAATGGTACTTACCCTGGCTTGTTTAGGGTATTTTTATTTTATCAATGTGAATCATTAATTTCTATCCTTGCATTACCTGGAGATATTCCAGAGTGACGTGAAGGTAGCAGGGGTTTTATTTTTCTGTCTATGGTTAATTTAAATCTGATGCCACTGAAAAATCATTTATTATTGTGTGAATAATGTACAAATACTGAAAAGAAAACTTTGGGTTTGAAACTGAGCCAGTCTTGACCTAGACCAAGCGAGTGTCTGGACTGCTGATATACCTGGGTTTGGACAGGCTTGGTATGGGGATGCTCTCTGCATGTATATTGGTTTGTTAATGGGAGAGCCGTGAGACGCAGAATCGATTAGAAATTCCTCTCAAGATACTGATCTCATTCAGACATTCAGCTCACTGCTTGACATACTGTCAGTTTAGGTATCTGACGGGTATTTTTACAGAATCACAGCATAGTAGCATTCGTGTTAATTTAATGTAGGGTCTTCTAATAATAGCTTTCCATGTTGTGCTCACTGACTGAAATTCAGTTTGTTTGATAACATTTGCAATGGCTGATATCTCTTTTTTTTAACTTACAGTAGTTGATTTTTTTCAGGTGGGTTTCACTACATTATTAATGCAGTGTTTCAAGTTTTTGTGTTCATTCTTTTGTCTTGAGTTCTGTTTGGGGGCTTTTACTTGCAAATAGGTTGAAGGGAAAGGGTCAGAAGTCCTAGGGTCAAGGGTTAGAGCTCATACAAGACTGTAACTAGTGAATTTGTACAACCAAAGAAGTCTATTTTGTGGTTCAGGAATAATAAATTTTACTTTTCATTTAAGAAGCTGATTCATTGTGTTGTGTCTTCTGTGCTTGGTTGATGTGTAAAGGTATGCGAGCTACAATGCAAAGATTGAAATGTAGAAAAACCATGAAGTGAATGAAGCAATTTGGTGGACTTAAAAGGCAAATTACACTTTAAAATAGCACTTGTGGACCTCATGGAGTTCATCAAGTAAATAAACTCACTTAACTAACAGGTAGAAATGGAAGGAGTCTTCTCTGTTCAGACCCTGCAATCGAATTCCTTTGCACTGGAGTACAGGGCAGCAACCTGCTGCTCCGCTGCAGGGACAGAAATAAAAAGTTGAGTTTTACCAGATTGACTGCTAATACTAATTGCTATCTCTACCTGGTTGGCCAATTGATTTATAATGGGCATGAACAGATTATCAGTAACAATATCTCCATTCACTTCAAAATGAGTAAAAATAAGAATTAATGTAAGGAGGAAGATACCCACCCTTTTCAGCATCCTGCCGCGAGCGCTGTAGAAGGATTCGGCACTGGGGCTGTCCGGAAGAAGCTCAAACTGTAGCTGCTGGTTTTCCTCTCTCTAAGAACATCAGTGGAGCATATGACTCAATACAACTTTTTTTGGTAAATATTACTCAAATGATGTATTCCTGCTGGCTTCCACTGTAGTCAAGGGCGTAGGTTTGCATAAAGTAGTAAGTCATAAAAACGTCATCTTATAATAAGGCATAAAAATGTTGTCAAAATGCCATAGTATACTATGGCATAAAAAATGTCAAAAAAGTCATAGTATAGTATGTCATAAAAACGTCATAGTATAGTCTGGCATAAAAATTTCATAAAAACGTCATAGTATAGTAAGACATAAAAACGTCATAGTATAGTAAGGCATAAAAATTTCATAAAAAGTCATAGTATAGTAAGGCATAAAAATGTCATAGTATAGTAAGGCATAAAAATGTCATAAAAACGTCGTAGTATAGTGAGGCAAAAAAATGTCATAAAAACGTCATAGTATAGTAAGGCATAAAAAACGTCATAGTATAGTAAGGCATAAAAAACGTCATAGTATAGTAAGGCATAAAAAACGTCATAGTATAGTAAGGCATAAAAAACGTCATAGTATAGTAAGGCATAAAAAACGTCATAGTATAGTAAGGCATAAAAAACGTCATAGTATAGTAAGGCATAAAAAACGTCATAGTATAGTAAGGCATAAAAAACGTCATAGTATAGTAAGGCATAAAAAACGTCATAGTATAGTAAGGCATAAAAAACGTCATAGTATAGTAAGGCATAAAAAACGTCATAGTATAGTAAGGCATAAAAATGTCATAAAAACGTCATAGTATAGTATGGCATAAAAATGTCATAAAAACATCATAGTAAAGTAAAGCATGAAAACTTCATAGTATAGTATGGCATAACAATGTCATAAAAACGTCATAGTATAGTAAGGCATAAAAATGTCATAAAAACGTCATAGTATAGTAAGGCATAAAAAACGTCATAGTATGGTATGGCATAAAAATGTCATAGTATAGTAAGGCATAAAAAACGTCAAAGTATAGTAAGGCATAAAAATGTCATAAAAACATCATAGTATAACAAGGCATAAAAACGTCATAGTATAGTATGGCATAAAAATGTCATAAAAACGTCATAGTAAGTATGGCATAAAAATTTCATAAAAACGTCATATATAGTAAGGCATAAAAACGTCATAGTATAGTATGACATAAAAATGTCATAAAAACGTCATAGTATAGTAAGGCATAAAAACGTCATAGTATAGTATGGCATAAAAATGTCATAAAAACGTCATAGTAGAGTAAGGCATAAAAACGTCAAAGTATTGTATGGCATAAAAATGTCATAAAAACGTCATAGTATAGTATGGCATAAAAATGTCATAAAAACGTCATAGTATAGTTAGGCATAAAAAACACCATAGTATAGTATGGCATAAAAACGTCATAGTATAGTAAGGCATAAAAACGTCACAGTATAATAAGGCATGAAAAACGTCATAGTATAGTATGGTATAAAACGTCATAGTATAGTATGGCATAAAAATGTCATAAAACATCATAGTATAGTAGGGCATAAAAATGTCATAAAAACGTCATAGTATAGTAAGGCATAAAAAACATCATAGTATAGTGTGGCATAAAAATGTCATAAAAACGTCATAGTA